GGCTCCCTTCCCGGCCCTGCGCGCAGGTCTCGGTCCCCGGTGGTTCTTGGGGACGCAGCGGGGCGCAGATTCTTAGTCCTGGAGTGCGAGTCTGACCCTGGCTCTTGCCCGGGAAAAGGGGTGCCTGCGGGTCCGAGTGCGGGCCGATCTCCCTCCCTGGGCCCCGAGACGCCCCGGACTCTGCGGCGACCCCTCCGGCCGCCGGGGACGGAGCCCTTTGGGGACGGAGCCCTTTGGGGACGGAGCCCTTCGGGAGAGGAGGCGACTCGAGCCTCTCAGCAGCCCGAGCCCCAGCGCCCTGTTCCGGCTGTGCGCGCGCGGCTCTGGGCGGGTTGTTGACTCGCTCAGAGTTGGACTCGGGCTCCCTTTGTGTCCTCCAGGCCCCCGAGCCACCTGCCACCTACTAGGGGGCCGACGGGGCCTTGTAGAAGTGACTGCGCCCCCCGGGAGAGTGTGCTGGGGGCGGGGGCGGCGCGGTGCGGGGAGGTGGACGAGAGATAAGCAGCTGCTGGCGGGAGAGACCTGTCCCCCAGCTGTCTTGGCCCCCTGGCCGGCGGTGCCCAGCAGCGACAGCGGTCTCCGACTGTGCCCACGCAGGTCCCGCCTGCTGGGGAACATCGTGTTTCAGTAAAGCAACCCTATTGGACTCCTTAGCCAGCCAGTGGCCGAGGGTCTCTGACTTTTGAAGGAAGTAGAGGGAACCTCTGGGGCCCAGGGTGGGAGGCGCAGTCGTTTTCTGAGGATCCAACCATGATGCTTGTCTTCCTGGGTTTGAAACTGGAAGTCAGGGCAAACCACCTTGTTGACTTAAAACCACCGGGTCGCTTCCTCTCCTTTACCCCTCACCCCGCCCCTTGCAGGCGTGGCACCCCTGGCCCCGCTGCTCTAACCAAGGGGTCTCCCCTTTATCCTGTCTCCACAGAGCACTACAAACACCACTGGTTCCCCGAGAAGCCTTCCAAGGGCTCCGGCTACCGCTGCATCCGCATCAACCATAAGATGGACCCCATCATCAGCAAGGTGGCCAGCCAGATCGGACTCAGCCAGCCGCAGCTGCACCGGCTGCTGCCCCGAGAGCTCACCCTGTGGGTGGATCCCTACGAGGTGTCCTACCGGATAGGGGAGGATGGCTCCATCTGTGTCCTGTATGAGGAGGCCCCGCTGGTCGCCTCCTATGGGCTCCTCACCTGCAAGAACCAAATGATGCTGGGCAGGCGCAGCCCCCCCAAGAACTACGTGATGGCCGTCTCCAGTTAGCTCCCCTGCCCCCGACTGGGCACTCCACTGTACTCACCCTGCCTGGACAGCAGGCCACAGCATACCTCAACCTGGGGAACTGTATTTTAAATGAAGAGCTATTTATATATATTATTTTTTTAAGAAAAGGGGAGAAAAAAACCATCAAGATTTTTTTAAAGAAAAAAGTCCTTAAAGGGTGCTGTGTGGAAGCGGCCTCCCCAGGTGCCTTTGGAGAGAACTGTGGTGGCTTCAGTCTGGGGGGGAGGGGGGGTCAGTGTCTGCCTATGGGAGGGGGAGCCGCTAGGAGTGGGCCCGACCAAGGGGAGGTGGGAGAAAGCTGGGCCAGCACCTCAAGATGTGAGAGGGAACAAGCGTGGTTGGCAGCTGTGAATGGGAGAGATGGGACCTCGCGGACACCTGCATCCCTGACCTCAGGGCCATTCAAGCCTGGACTGAACTCGTGTTGCCTAATCTTGACTTTTATTTTTCTGATGAGATCCTGGGCAGAGAGTGATTCCTTTTGTCCCAAACAGCTTTTCTTAAAATCATCACTTGTTTCTGATTCTATCCTCAGGGGGCCTGTAGGTATTGCTTCCCAGCCAGGAATCTAAAGCTTTCTGTTTTGTGGGAGTCACGGGAGTGAGGCAGGGTTGGAGGTTAGGGGGGGACTAGGATGGCAGGGTACTCTGCACAAAACCTCTGCTTGGCAGTGCGCTGCTCCGTGTGTGAGTGTGCTGAATAATCCAGGGGGCCTTGCAATGGACTTTAAGACCCAAAGAGTGTCCTCTGTGTGTTTACAAAACCCTTCTTTCTGGATCCACATGAAAGTGCTAATGCTGCTGCCATTATCCCTTTGAGAGGTGGCTCAAAAGCTACTGGAACTCCAAGTCCTTTGTTACTGCCTTCTTTTTAAAAGCACAACACTCCTCTCTCACTCTCCCCGCTCCTCTCCCCTCTGGTTGGGTCGTGGAGCGACCCTATTTCCTCAGTCACTGTGCAATATGGCCTCCTAGTCCAGGAGGATGTGGAGAACTGGCCCTCAGAACCTCCTGGCGCTCTAGGGAGCTGGGGGAGCCATCTCTCCCTCTGTCCTCGGAACTGGCTGGCTGCTCAGCCTTGCAGGTGTCCTTTGGCTGACCCCAGAAAGCCCAAGTTCTCCAGGATTCCTGGGTATTCTTGTAGGGCTGACACTAAACACCAAACATTGGGCATTGTTTTTTTTCTCCCTGGTGCTCAGAGCGCCTCTGGGAGAGGTTGCTGTCTCTCTCAGTGCAATCCAAATTTGTCTGTAGACTTGTGCAATATTTACTGTTTTGGGTTGGAGAAAAATGGAAAACTACCTTTGGTTTCTCAGTGACATTAGTGAGGGGTTCTCAGAAGGCCTTGAGTTTCCCAAACCTGAATCACCTTAAAAAGGACAGAGCTAGGCCATCTGGTCAACCTGGCTACCCTCCTGCTATTGACCCTTAGTGAGGAACCTTCTGCTCCAACCCCCAAAGTCCCCTCCCCACCGCATCCCCCTTTCCTGGGTTTCTTAACTACTCAATTCTGACTCAGAGGTGCTATTTACCAAACACTCTCCCAACCCATCCCTGCCTATTCTGCCTCCTCCTTTTCAACTCTCTAGACCCAAGCTGTTTTTCCCAGACCCTGTTTCCAATCTTAATTGCTTTAAAGGGGACTTGGGGCCCCACAGACCCAAGAGCTTCTATTCTGGCCTGTGGGTTGAAACAAAGCTGTGAATCACTGAAGATTTCGTTGTTGCATGCTGCAAACAGGTCCTGCCTTTTCAGAAGCAACCTCATGGTCTCATGCTTAATCTTTTCTCTCTTCTCTTCCTTTTGACGTTCACTTTAAACAACTAAATGCCCAGAGCTGGACTGTTGAGCAGGCCTGTCTCTCCTATTAGGTAAAAATAAATAGTAGTGCATTTGTAAGCTATTCTGAAAGAAAAGACAAAGGTTACTAATTGTATAATAGTTTTTTTATGGAAGAATGTACAGCTTTATGGACAAATGTACCCTGTTTTGTTACTTTAATAAAACTGTAGCAGATGAAGTTGTGTGGTGTAGAGAAGGTAAAATTCCCACATCGTTAATGTGGGTCTTTCAGATCCAGATCCTTTGTGTCTTCAGTTGCACTCAAAACCTATAGCATGTGGCCAGATAAAAGATAAATCTAAGTTGTGTGGTGAGGGCATTTCCAAGCATCCCCTCTTCTCTAGGAATTAGCTCCACATTTACGCCCTCTGATGCATATTCTGTGAAAATGCTAGATGTGAGAGGATTCATCTGATGCATCCTTGCTAGATGTATCCTTCCATTCAGCAAGAATGTATTGTCAGTCAGGCACTGGAAATATTGAAGATGCTTAGACACAGCCTCTCTTCTCGCAGACAGGGTGGTGAGCAGGGAGCCCCTTACCCCTTCTCAGGTTGGGGCAGAATTGTTAGAAATCCCTGTGCTCTCTGAAACTACCCTTCGCTGCCCACCGTTCTGGTCTCATTAGAATAGTGGGGACTTCAGTTGTTGCTATTGAAGTCGCAAGTGCATTTTTGACCTGAGCTAGTTTTTTGTTTTGTTTTTCTTGGCCATAGGTGCTACCTTAAAATTTAAACATGTTGATTCATAAACTATGGGATCCCGTCCCCCCGCCCGCCCCGCCACACACACACACACACACACACACACACACACACACACACACACACACACACACACACACACACTTCATTTCCCTCCTCCATGACCCTCATCAAGAAACACGTAGTTTGACCTGCAGGTGGGCCCTGAAGACGGTGTGATAGGCTGGGAGGTTGGTGAGCCAGAATATGGGGACGAAGGAAGCCCACTCACCTGTATCATAAATAGAATTGGTGATGGGGACCCACTTGTGTCAAGATGTTATTTAAAGGAAGGTTCCCAGGTTCATTTGTAACTCCTAATGCAAATGTCTTAGACACTCATTTATAAGGACCTACTTTTTTGGATGTAAAGACCCAGTGTTAAGGTTGAATTTTCGCCCATCCAAGTGTGCTATTCTCTTGTTTGTTACAAAGTCAGCATCTATCTTGTTTCCTAATAGGCCCCACTCATGATGGATATTTCATTTAGTAGAAAACATGAGATTCATGGAAGCTTGTCTGGAAGTTAAGGGGACATCATCCCAAACCCCTGTCTCCAAGCCAGGGGACCTGCAGTACAGCAGGTTCACCGTGGGGCTGGGCAGACTAACAGTCCCTCAATTTTCATGAAAGAGTCTGTGATCAAGCAATGTGTTACAGTATTTGCTTTAGATCTGACCAGGTCCAGGAGGGCTGGAGAGTGCCCCCTGGCCAGCTGAGTGCAGGGGCTGTGGACAGGAACCGCCTACAGAGCTGCAGGTGGTCTCTGTGTCAAGGACTGAGCAGTAGCCCGTCATTCTGCTCCCAGCTTCCCCAGTTGGTAAACAGTTGCAGTCTGACTGAGCCCTAGGAGACCTGTGCTCGCTCAGTCAGCTGTTTCTGGATGATAATGCACCTCCCAGATAGTGTAGACAAGGCCCTGGGAGCTGCAGATTAAGAGCCGACCCGGCTCCTGATAAGGAGGTTTGGGTGGGGTAGTCTATGAGGCTGCAACAAACAAGCTTCAGGAGGAAGAGACCCACTGCTGTGAGCTTGACATCTGATCATGTACAACCTTTGGGAAGCAACACAGGCCTCCAGGCTTCCAGGCCAGTGTCAGCACCCCACAAACAGGCTTCCAGACCAGTGTCAGCACCCCACAAACAGGCTTCCAGACCAGTGTCAGCACCCCACCCAACAAAGCCTGCACACTGGAGAGAAGGACAAGGACAAGGACAGAGGGAAGAACTGAGCATCATGGGAACACATGTAGGGGGAAGAGGGGGATGCCACTGACGGGACAGGTGCCTGGAAGAGATGGTCTGAATCTTGAGAGACAAGTTAACCAGGCAAACGTGGGCGGGTGAAAGGGGGGCAGGGAATCCCTGAGCAAAGGCCCAGAGGCTGCAGTCCCAGGCATAGGTTAGCGGACACCCGTTGAGTGAGGGTGGGGAGAGCTGCCTCCAGCTGAATCCTTGCAGGGGAAGCCGAGGTCCCACGCGTGTCCTGGGCTCTATCAGGAACATGCTGCGTGCTCCTTCCTGAGACCGTGGCCATGGCGACAGCCTGCTGTTGATGTGCTGGATGCAGAGCCTCGCTCCTAGTATGGGAGCCCATGTTGGAAACCCCCACATCCCCACTCCCTGGTGGTCCCAGGTGCATCATAGGTAAATGAGGGCCTATGAATGTATGTACTTTTAAAAAAGCATTTAACACATTTTTTTAAATGTTTTTATTAATTTTTTTTGAGAGAGAAAGGGAGAGGTAGAGAGAGACAGAAATATGGATGAGACAGAAACATCGATCGGCTGCTTCCTGCACACCCCCTACTGAGGATGGAGCCCGTAACCTGGGCATGTGCCCCAACCGGGAATCAAACCTTGACCTCCTGGTTCATGGGTTGATGCTCAACCACTGAGCCACTCCAGCCAGGCCGTTTAACCCTTAAAAAAGAAAAGTTAACAACATTAGAATTTAGGGACATGTCAACTAAAAGTACATTGCAGGTTTCTCTTGAAAAATCACAGTATGTTACCACTGGTCTCCCAGAATGACAGTGGACTAGCACCAAGGAGGGGTGGGGGTACAAACAGGGCTTGAGCTTGCTCTCCCAGTTTAGCACCGCCTCTGTCCTGCCACTCTCACCCATTGATGTCCTGGCCCACCCTCTCTCCCCTGGAGCTCACTGAACTTTAAAAGGCCCCTCCCTGCTGCTGGTGGTAAATAAAGTCACCTTTGCTTCAACATCCGCAGCTACACCCCTCTTATCTGATGTGCTCTGGGCAGCCCATCCGGTTCACTGGACAAGGGTTGCATTAGGCCTGCCCTTGTCTATGGGTCTGGAGGTGGGAGTGGTAGAGCCAGGTGGCAGCTGGGAACAAAACGACTTGGAGCTGATGGGTCCAGAGAACCAGGCTCCCATCAAAGGTGGGGATAGGGCCGGCTGCACATCGAGGGTACACTCGTTTGTATAAGATCGTTATCTAGAGCCCTGGTAGCTTCTTAGGCTGAGCGCAAACATGTTTCTTGCCAGTTCTATAAAGAAATGATGTGGAGGGAAAGCCAGAACTCTCCAGAAGTCAGGCTTGTCCTTTTCAACGCCCTCATTTCTCTCTCTTCTGGGAAGGGAGAGCACGTGGGTGTGATTCTACCGGTGGGCAGGAGGGAGGTAAGCAAAGTCGTTACTGGAAAATCCCTTTCCCGCCCACTCTGTGTCGGGATGAGCATGTAGCCCAGTTTGGTATTAATCACAAGCGGACCATGGTGCCAGCAGGTCAAAGCCACTCTGTGGACCAAGATGAGCTGTCTGGCAAGGACACCACCATTTCAGCAAGAATGATAGTGGTCAGACCTGAGTTCATTCATTCATTCAGCCAGTTCTTCTAGTGCCTATTATAGGCTACATATGACACTAGGATGGGCTTTGTGACTTTGAAGATTCTTTTAAACAAAGGATTGAAAGTCATTTTGCTATGGGAGAGGACACAGACTTGCTTAGATGGCATTAACTCTAGCCATGTTTGGAGGCACTAGTAGGAACTATTACCTTAATAATGGTTTCCTTCCAGTTATCAGAATGCCGGAGTGTCCTTATTCATCTCAGGACCAATTCTACTTAAATCTACAATTCCCATTTATTGAGCAACTTAAATGTGAAAAACACTAATTCTAAGTAGTTTATTGATCTAATTTAATGCTCATAACAACAATGTGAGATGGATTCTTTTAAAAACATACATTTGCCCTGACCGGTTTGGCTCAGCGGATAGAGTGTCGGCCTGCGGACTCAAGGGTCCCAGGTTCGATTCCGGTCAAGGGCATGTACCTTGGTTGCGTGCACATCCCCAGTAGGGGGTGTGCAGGAGGCAGCTGATCGATGTTTCTCTCTCATCGATGTTTCTAACTCTCTATCCCTCTCCCTTCCGCTCTGTAAAAAATCAATAAAATATATTTAAAAAAAATAAAAACATACATTTTTGTTGCTTTCAGAGAAAGGAAGGGAGAGGGAGAGCTGGAAACATCCATGAGAGAGACACATGGATCCACTGCTTAGATCGAGCCGGCAACTCAGGCCTGTGCCCTGACCAGGAATGGAACCAGCGACCTCTTGGTGCATGGGGCAACACTCAACCAACTGAACCACACCAGCCGGGCTGGACTCTATTTCTAATCCACTCTTACAAATGGGGAGATGGGGCCTGATTGGTACAGTGACTGGGCCCAGGTTGCACAGTCAGTACGTAGGTGGTAGAGCTGATGAGAATCTTGCAGGCAGCCTCACACCAGAGCCCTGAGCTCCTCACCTCTTTGCAGCTGCCTCCCTGCTGCTTAGAAAGTGAAACCTCATCAGGCAGGAGCGTGATGCAAACAAGAGAAGAGGAGTGCCCATGGCCCTTCCCAGCCCCCAAAACTTTTCAGTTCAACTAATTGAAAATGATGATAATTACGATGCTAATTTGCCCTCCAGTGATTGCCGGGATAATGGAGATGATTTAGAATCAAAAGCTGAAGAACGGAATAGAAATGATGTCATCCAACCCTTTAATTTCTGAGACAGGAAAATGGAGGGGCTTGTCCAAACTCACACGGCTGGTTTGGAAGAAGAATCCAGGCTACCACCCGTATATTCTCCCTCCCAGCCCAGATGTGCACTGCATCCAGCACATCAGCAGCAGGCTGTTGTCATGGCCATGGCCCCAGGAAGGAGCAACCAGCATGTTCCTGATAGGACCAAGGGCACGCGTGGGACCTCGGCTTCCCCTGCAAGGATTCAGCTGGAGACAGCTCTCCCCACCCTCACTCAACTGGTGTCCGCTAACCTGTGCCTGGGACTGCAGCCTCTGGGCCTTTGCTCAGGGATTCCCTGACCCCCTTTCACCCACCCACGTTTGCCTGGTTAACTCGTCTCTCAGACCATCTCTTCCAGATACCTGCCCAGTGACGTCTCCTCCTTCCC